TTCCCTTACAAAATTCTAGCTAATTCCTTTTGCAATAGCAAAAGTCTGACTGTATCCCGCTCTGCACACCCTTACCTTGATGTCTGTGTCTGGAGTGACAAACTCCTTCAGACACTCGATGGGACCCATAAGAAATGGGCAGTGGGAGGACAAAGCCTGGAAGAAAGAAAAGATATATGACTCCACAGAAGAGTGACCATTGCCTTCAAAAACAGGTGGAAACAAACCCAAAAAAGGGCTTCAACTTAGGTAAGAAATTAGCCAGGTTTCCAAGCTATCCCTCTTTTCATGCCTGTTCAGTTTCCTAAGCCCATCTCTCCCCAGCTATCTTTGAGGACCTCTGCCAAATTAAGTTTCTTCTCAATGCTCCCCAACCTGTTCCACTACTGGTCATACAAGCCCTACACATAGAAGCGTCTGTGATTCTGTGTCAGCACCCCTCAGCCCACTCACCTCCCGTAGTCCCTCTTGGGCCATGGCCCTAAAACTGAGAATCACCCCAATGATGGTCATACGCTTCAGCACACTGTCAGCCCCTGTGGAGAAAAAAGGGTATCTGAGCAGAGAACTTATGAGAATAGCCTAAACCCCAGGTCCTCAAAAACCTGTCATTGGGAATGCTATTCTTCTCACGGTAGGGGAAGGTGCTTACCTGTCAGCTGGGGCAGCAGAGAAGCCATCAAGTCTGGCTTGCTGAAATTGGATCTAATCTGAACAAGTATATCCATGTTTTCCACCACCAGCTTCTGCAGCCCAGGAACACAGAGACATTAAGCAGGAGAAGAAGAGACCAATGTTACATTATCCCCTAATCTCTTCCACTTCCCGACTGTCCCCCAAGGTGGGACATTTTTCCTGGGGGCTGTTTCCACCACACCTTGAGCTCCACAATCTGAGAGGTCACATGCCACATCAGGTTTTCACTGAGGAACTTCATGCCATAAGGTCCCAGGAGTTCAGCCAAGGCCCGCATTTCTAAAACAGAGTTAAAACGGTTCCAGTTAGGACTTAGAGGGCTCTGGGGCAATTGCATCATAGCTAGGGTCATCTGAACATTCAAGACATTTTCCAGAAAGGGAAGAAAGTGGGATGCCAAGGAGCCAAAAAGCAGGAAATCCTTTCAAGTGACAATTCTGGTCTGCCCATGGGACAGTTTACTCTCTCTCCCCCAGTCCTCATGCTAAGACTTACCACAAATGATAGCAGCTGTTTATTTTACTTTCTTATAAAAATCTATATTTTACCAAGTCCCTTGAAGTGGCACCTGAGTTTTACTCTTGCTGCACTAACTGTACTAGCCTTCTTAGATGTAAGACCTTAAGCAAGTCATTGAATGTCTCTGAAGAAAAAGGGGGAGAAAAGGAGAAGGGCCAGAGGGTGGCACGGTAACAGTGGATGCACATGGAGAAGGCCCTGGGTTTGCAACCTGGGCTCTCCCTGAGTACGTCAGGCATGCATGCACCCATGATCTGGGCCGGCTGAGATTAGGGGCAGATGATGGGGTGAAGGGCCTGTTGGAGATGCACTCTGTCTCTGTCTCTCTCTCATGGAAGAAATAAAAAATTTTAAAACCTCTCTGAGCCTCAGTTTATTTCTCTGTAAAATGAAGAAATCGCCTGCCATGAATACCTCACAGGGTTGGTGTGAGAGTAAATGATATACTACATTAGAAAAACGTTAGAACACTATAAAGAGGGGCCAGCACGTGGCGTAGTGGTTAAGGTACCGGACTCCCACATGGCCAACTACAGTTCAAGTACTGGGTATGGAGGCTTGAAACACACTGAGCTCATGTGCATGCGTGTCCAAAATCCCTGGAGGAAAATGGAAGAGGAGGGATTGTGGTGTAGCCATTTCCCCTGGGGGTGATTTCTCACTTTTTCTCCTACTATCTCTCTCTCTCTCTCTCTCTCTCTCTCTCTCTCTCTCTCTCTCTCTCTCTCTCTCTCTCTCTCTCTCTCTCTCTCTCTCTCTGGTGCGCACATGTGCCCTATGGCATAAACCTTTAAAAAATGAAAAAAATAAAAAGTAAAGATATGTATAAATAAGGGATTCTGGTGATAATAATTTTTAAATAATTATTTATTTTGCTTAGTTATTTATTTTAATTTTACCAGAGAGAAAAGAGAGTCTGGGATTTTAACCGTAGTCAGTCATGTGGGACTCCAGTGCCTTAAGCACCATGCCACACACCAGCCCCTGATGATGATAATTTTTTTTTTTTTTTGGAGAGGTTTTTGCTATAGGGCACATGTGCTCGCCAGAAAGACAGAGACAGAGAGACAGAAAGCGAGAAATCACCCCCCAGGTGGGGTGGACACGACACAATCCCTTCTCCTCGATTCTCCTCTCGGGATCTTGGGCACGCACGCACACGCACCTGGCGTGAGTTTACGGCACCAGGTCTGGGACTCAAACCGCGGTCGACTACATGGGAGTCCAATGACATAGCCATTATGCTAACTGCTGGTCCCCAAAGATGATAATTATTAACAGCCCTCTGAAGTATGTGGCACAGGCACTATCGTCATGGTTTTACAGACAAGGGAGTAAAACACACATCCTGGGTCACTGAGCCACGTCAGGGACAGGTGCTAGACCCTAGTGCAATGCCTTAGTGCCTCATACTGTGTCCCAAGAGATACAACTATTTCCTTACCTAAGGCCCGCTCTTTGTATGTTCCTTGTTTCACTACCCTTATATGATGCCTCACTATCCAGGTTTTCTGATCTGGAGCTAGCGTTTCTTTTTCCATAATCAACACATCCTCAGGGTCTCAGTTCTTATTTTCCTCTAAGTCCTTTTTTTCTTCTAGCCTGCCCCAATGCCTTATTCCTCCCTACCCAGGCTGCCTTGGCTCTTTGTGAATTAAATAAACCTGCCTGGGGAAATCCCATGTTAGAAACACTAGTGACAAATTCAGACAGGAAGAGCTCTAGCTCTAATCTTTGGATACAGGCCATTCCAGCAGGGAAAACCATAAAAGACCAGAAGTAGAAACAATGAGAGATGAGAAGAAAGACAAGTTTAATGTCAGTAAGAAGAGTTCAGAAAGAGCCAGCCCGGGCCCTCATGGTTAAGGCAGCTGGGACCCACATGGCCAACTGCGTGGTTCAAATCCTGAACACAGCAGCTTGAAAAACACCCTGTGCACATGTGCATGCTCGAAATCCCAGAGAGAGGGAGAAAGTGGAGGAGAAGGGACTGTGGTGTGACCATGTCCCAAGGGGGCTGCTTTCTCAAGTCACTGGAGAGATTTATTCTTTTCTCCCTCTCTCTCTCTCCCTCTTTTTCGCTCTCTCTCTGGCAAGCAATTTTTGGCTGAACCTCTCTGACAAATTTAAACAAAAACAGGTCAGTGAGCAAAAGAAGTGAAGGTTCCACACTGAGAAGGAGAACCAGTTATCTCCATCTGCACCCATGACAGAACTGTAAAAGGGTTTCCTAACTGGCCAAGTGAGACAATGCTAACAGCTAACAGTGGGAAAGGGCGCTGGTGGAGAGGAGATGCACGCATCTTAGCAGTTTGTACCTGCCAAACCTCCTCACTCCAGTCTTCTCTACCCCCAGCTAGTAACCCGAGGGCATCTTTCTCTATCCATCTATCTATTTTTATAGTAGCATTGTCCCATCACCATGGCAACCCAGGGAAATTGGGGTGGGGGTGGTAGAAGGGGGAATCAGCATTACCTCCTGCTGCTTGTCAGTTGTCAGCAAGACCTAAAGCTGATTTTAGATGCTGCCTACAGTTTGTGGGAAGAGCTGATGAGAAGGGGACATCTGAAGCCTCCAGCAGGTAAACAGTAGGGTCAGCTTACAGATGGAGTCTGAGTGACTGTAAGGAGGCAGAACTGGAAAACAGAACTGTATATGCTGGTTTTCCTTTTTTTAAAAAATGTAATTATTTAATTATTTGTTTATTTTCATTTGACCACAGAGAGAGGGGGAGGGGATATATATATAGAGAGAGAGCAAGCCGCCAGGCCCAAGACTCAAACCTCAACCACCACGCCACCTGCTGGCCCCCTATGCTGGAGAAGAATACAGAGGGCAGGGTCACCAGAACATCTTCTACCTGTCCCAAATACCATGCAGGATTCTTGATTTATAGAGAAATGTGAGGAAGTAGAACAGCTCATGAATTAGTAAAACAAATCTATTAAAAATGGTCTGCATGGTTTCAATCCCTCCTTTTAAAGAGAATGGCTTCCCAATTCATTTGCTGCATACTCCTTACACACACACACACCCTTGAGACACAAAACCACTTCTCTAGACTGGCAAGCGGCGCTGCATAGCGGCTGAGCACTCAGGTTCTGTAGTTTCACCGCCTGATTTAAAATCTCAGTCCTGTCATTTATGGTGTGTGACCTTAAGCAAGCTCATTAACTTCTCTGTGTCTCAGTGTCCTCATCTGAAAAACTGGGATAATAAGAGTATCTGCCTTAAGGCTGTTGTGAGGATTGAGTGAAAATGTGTAAGCATTTAGAATTTAGCCCACAATAATGTCACTCCTCATCTCATCACCATTATTATTAAACACTGGCAATTCAAACATTGACGAAGGCTCTACAATTTATTTCTAAAGAGAAAGATGCCAAGGCTTCAGACCACTGTTTAATAATTCTAAGCACGGGACCTGCAGATGGTATAATTGTTATTTTGCTGGACTTCCATGTAGTAGACTACAGTTTCAGTCCCAGACCCAGCAGCTTAAAATTCATGCCAAGCACATGTGCATGCATACCCAAAATTCCAACAGGAGAATAGAGGAGAAGGGATTGTGACATGGCCATCCCCCTGGGTGGTGATTTCTTGCCTTCTGTCTCTCCATCTCTGTCTCTCCAGTGAGTGCACATGTCCTATAACAAAAAATCTCTCTTTAAAAAAATTTCTAGGGGCCAGCAGGTGGCATGGTGGTTAAGGCGCTGGACATTCCCACATGGCCAACTACGGTTCAAGTCCTGGAGATGGTGGCTTGCTTTCTCTCTCTCTCTCTCTCTCTCTCTCTCTCTGTGTGTGTGTGTGTGTGTGTGTGTGTGTGTGTGTGTGTGTCTATAGTCAAATTAAAATAAAATGAATAAATGAATAAAATTTTTAAAAATTTCTAAGCATGAAAATATCCTCCTTATACTTTATTCTTTATCCTTCATTTTAATGTCTTACTCTTTTATTCTTTGTGGTAATGGAAAATAATCATTCCTCATCCTTCAGAGAATAAATCTCAAACCAGCCAGTGGCATGGTGTTTAAGGCAGCTGGATCCCACATGGCCAACTGCACACACAGTTCAAGTCCCAGAGCCAGAGGCTTGAAAGGCACACCTTGAAAGGTGTGCCTGCATACCCAAAATCTCTAGAGGAGACTGGAGGAGAGAAGATTGCAGTGTGGCCATCTCCCCAGAGACAATTTCTCACTTTCTCTTTCTCTCTCTCTTGTCTCTCTCCAGTGAGTACACATATCCTATACCAAACAAACAAAGAATAAATCTCTCCAGTGACTTGAGTGCCCTGCCTGACTCCTAAACTCCCCTTGTATTTCCTCTCTACCTTCAAACCCCAGGCCATTCCTCAATTCTGGGCTTCACTTAGAATCTCTTTTTATTGTGGAATCTAGGTGAATCTAGTGGAGATGCTGAGCAGACATGAAATGGACTTCTGGAAAGGTAGAATTTAGGAGTCCACAGGCTTAAGTATCGTACTGAAGGGAAAAGTTCAGCTTCTCGACAAGACCAGACCCTGGGCTCACCAGAGATGTCAGAGAACTCCTCTGCGCTGAAGTTCTGCTCCCCCTCTCTGGGGAGGCTGATGAAGGCCTGCATGGCAGGAGAGAGGATGATGGTCCCACTGCTCGCCTGTCTAAGCAGACTTTCTAGGTACCTACAGGGTTGACCGAGAAAGCACAGATTAGTGTCTAATCCGTTCTCCCCAACATTGCTCCTTACAACTGTCACTGAGCTCAGGAATAGAAATTCTGCCAGACAGGTGGGGAGGACAGACTTGAGACAGTACAGCACTCGAACACACCAAGCTATTAGGTTGAAAACAACTCACAGTAATGTAACTCCACTTCACCTCTAATCTGCAGGGTTATTTTGCTATACTGCAAATGCAATGGCAAGTACTCCCTTCCCTCGGCCCCTGTTCTTTTCCATTGATTACATACCCCTCATCCTTACCCTTTGTCAGACAGAGATTCAACACAGCAGGAAAAAGTATTTCTACTAACTGGGTTCCTCTGAGATATACTTAGCCCCAGCCTTTCTAACCAGAATGTTGGACTGAGAACCTAAAATTCTGCAAGCCTCCTGGGCAGAGAAAAGTCCCATGGACATGGGTCATCCAGTCTCTAAATATTCCCACTGACCTCTGGGCAAGCTTAGAGGGGCTGGGCTCCAGCCAGTATCAGCAGAGCAGGGCTTGACCAACCGCTGTCACTCACCTAGGCACTGGCTCTAGGTCTGTACCTTACAGAGGTCACAAGCTAACTACCAGTGGACCAAACCCAGTCTGTCAAACAAAACATTTCCCCTTTTATTTTAAATTGTCAACTTTCGAAAGTGAGAGATTTAATACTTAAGAAATAAGGATTTAGTAGGACGGCAATGATAGCTAAGGGGTGGCTGTGCCCTTTAGAGGCACATTTCCTCTCCAACGCCTCAAAGTTCCCATCTGGCCCACAACACCCCTTGACCTGCCTGGCCCCTGTGGCAAAGTATTTACAAGCTTTGCTCCCCCGTAGGGGGAGTTCTTGGCTGTCTCCAGCTGAGCTGATATAAGATTAATAGCGCCACCCAGTGGCTTGGGGAGGTAGGAATCCAGCTCCTTTCCATTCTTAAAAATCTCAAAGGAAATAATGCTGATTACCACCTTCCTCAGTTCTGAGAAAACTCCTGTCCCTATTAAGAACAACCTACTACTCATGGTCATGTCTGGGGATGAGACAGTATTCTGGAGAGATGGTATGCAGGATGAGTTTCCGAGGGAGAATCTAGGGCAAAAAGAGAAGCGACAGAACTTTAGAGAGATCATTTGAAATTGAAACAGTGAGAATTGGAAAAGAAAAATTAAGAACTAGAGATTAAGAGGAGAAAGTTCAAACAGCTGCAGGGGAGGTTGATGGATATTACATTGAAGGTTAGAAGGAAACCTCAGAGCTAAAATGCTTGAGCCCTGAGGTCCTACTGTATAAAGAAAAAAAATTATACTAACAAAGAGTAAGGTGATGGGAAAGGGAGGGCAACACTGACCAGTTTGTGTAGAGAGTGGTGATGGTCTGTTCCCCGCCTGAGTCCAGGGGCTGTGTCTGCTGCAGGAGGGCGTTGCGGATGACTCTGGAAGCATCTGCACCCAAAAACTGGGCCAGTGACTGTATGAAACTGATGTATGCTTTGACTCCTGCCAACAGCTCAGAAGGCCTTACGATCTCCTGGGTCGTGGCATTGTAGCCAGCCAGGCACACAATTGCTCTACGAGATAAAAATATATATATAACTATCATAATTACAATCATAATGATAAAAATAGTAATAATGATTACGTGTGCACTGTGTTCCAGGTGCTGTGCTATAATTCTACTACACATATTATCTCATTTAATCCTCAATGAAACCCAATACGGTAGAAACAATTATTACCCCCATTTCATGGGTGAGGACATTAAGACAGAAATGGTAAATCACTGGCAGAAAACCACACAGCTGGCAAGTGACAGAGCTAGGTCTTGAATCAAATATTATTTGATTCCTAACCACTAAGTTCTAGTACCGCTGGAGAAATTCGGTCAGGTGGGGAAAGATCTGAGCTCCTAAATTCCTTCTCTCTACCGGAGGACTCACACCGCTTATGTATTTGTCAATGTCAATATTTTCTTTCTTCCTTGGAAAGAATTACTTCCAGCCACTGTCAGAAATGGAAAACCAGTGAGTTGGCCCTTTAGCACAGCAGATAAGTTGTCTGAAATGACCCCAAATGGCTGACTGCAGTTCAAGTCCCAGCCCCAACAAATTGAAAAACACACCAGGCACAGTCATGTGAGCCAAAATCCTGACAGAAAGGAATGAAGAAAAAGGATTGCCGGGTGACCATACCCCATGGGGGGATGGTGTTTTCTCTCTTTCTCTCTCTCTTTCTTTCTCTCTCTCTCTCTCTCTCTGTCTGGTGAGAGCATATGCCCTCTGGTAATTTTTTAAGTTAAAAAAGAAAGAAATGGAAAATAATGCTTATAAATCCTTGGGAGTAAGGTACAATCCCAAGCAGCTACAGGATGCCAGGGATGGACAGAGAGCACTCCTGGCTGGCATGCAGCTATAGCCAACCTAAGAGGTGGAAAAATTGCCCCCACTATGTTATTGTAGGGACATACCAGGAAGACCCCTGCCCCCCCAACTGCTTCCCGAATACCTTCCTCAGGTACCTGAGATTGCACAGTTGGCCATTTGACTTAAGGCTTTTTTCCTTGTTAAAGTACAAACCATAGGAGAAAAAGAAACATCACACTTGAAGCTTTCATCAGTCATTTATACCTCAATATAAATGAGTTCATAAGATTTTTTCTAAAACCACAGATACATGGTAGTATTTTGTTTATTTTGTATCTTTGTCAAAATGTTTATGGCAGTGGAGGAGAACAGAACAGAAGGGTCTGCTCCACAGATGGAAGGCAAAAGAAGTTAAAAAAAAAAAAAAAGTGGTACTTGAGGGAAAATAATAAATACAGAAGGGACAGCCTAATCTACTTGAGAGTTTTCACTGAGGTCAAACCTCTAGGCCTACCTTCGGGCTTTGGGAACAAAGATGCCAATGAAGCAAGTATCAAAGATATTCAGTGAAAACTAGAATATCACACCTATGCTCCTCCAGGGCAGTAAATCACCACCAGCTTCTGGTGGTTTGCACATAGACAATTATCGAACTGTCATCTTCTTGACATTGTGTATGCAACAGAGACAGTTTTTCCATCTAACTAATGTGTATGTCATGAAAACAAACTAATTTCACTTCACCCAAGCAAAAATCTAATTGAAAACCTGCATCTCCTAATGTCAAAACACCAGCTCAAGGGGCCAGCAGGTGGTGTGGTGGTTAAGTCACTGGACTCCCACATTGGCCAACTACCAACTACAGTTTGAGTCCAAGACCTGGCAGTTTGTTTTCTCATTTTCCCTCTCTTTCTCTCTCTGTTTCTTTCAGGTCAGTGTGTGTGCCATATGGAAAATTAAAAATAATAATAATTAATTTAATAAATATTTTTTTAAAAAAACAGGCTCATAAGTATTCTTCCTTTGGGTATGCTAAGATCATTAGGGTCAGGCCCCTATGAATGAGTTCTAGAATGTTTAGAAGAAAGGAGACCAGACCAGCAGAAATTATGGACAGCAGATCTGCTCAAGATCCTGTCCTCTACCATTTTATAATGCCTTTGGGCCTTCCACACAGCCATAACTGTGAGTCAAATAAACTTTTATTCTCTTAAATTCGCCCATTCTCAGGTATTTCTATAAAAAATACAATAATAGACTAGGGACGAGGGATTTAGGTAAATATCACTTTCTTTTTTTTTTTTTTTTTTTTTTGGAGAGATTTTCGCTATAGGGCTTGTGCGCTCGCCAGACAGACAGAGAGAGACATAGAGACAGAAAGCGAGAAATCACCCCCCAGGGAGGATGGTCACGCCACAATCCCTTCTCCTCCATTCTCCTCTCTGGATCTTGGGCACGCACGCACACATGCCCGGCGTGAGTTTTAAGCCACCGGGTCCGGGACACGAACCGCAGTCAACTACGTAGGAGTTCAGTGACATAGCCATTATGCTAACTGCTGGTTCCCAATATCATTTTCTTAAGACGGTCTCTGGTCATCTTATCTATAATAAAACTGAAACACTCACTACCACTGCTACCCCCTCACTCACACACACATTTTCTAGCTCCCTTCCCTGCTTTATCTTTTTGTTCAGTATGTATCACTATCTAACCTACAATATATTCTACCTTATTTTCCTAACTTCCCCACTAGAAGGTAAGCCACATGGGGCAGAGATTCTTATTTGTTTTTTATACTGCTATAATAACACCTTCTAGAACACTCCTGACTCACACTCGGAAAAATATTGTCGGGACCAGCAGTTACCGTAATGGCTATGTCGTTGGACTCCCATGTAGTCGACCACGGTTTGAGTCTACCTGGTGGCTTAAAACTCATGCCAGGCTCGTGTGTGCATGCCCAAAATCCCAAGAGGAGAATGGAGTAGAAAGGATTGCGGCATGGTCACTTCCCTGGAGAGTGATTTCTCACTTCCTGTTTCTCTGGCTCTCTCTGTCTTTCTGGGGAGTGCACGTGCCCAACAAGAAAAAAAAAAAAAAAAAAACTCTCCAAAAAAAAGAAAAAAATATATATATATATTGTTCAACCACTTTTTTTTAATTGTCAGAGGACATGTGCTTGCCAAAGAGAAAGAAGGAAAATGAGAAAGCACCCCCTCCGTGGAGAATGGTCATGCCACAATCCTTTCTCCTCTATTTCTTTCTCCTTTCAGGATTTTGGGCACACATACATACATGCCCAGGGTGTTTTTCAAGCTGCCAGGTCTGAGATTCATATCACAGTCAGCCATATGGGATCCAGCTGCCTTAACCACCATGCCACTGGCTGGCCCAATAATTTTTTTTTCCAATAAATATTTTTTAAGGGCCAGCCCCATGGCCTATTGGTTAAGAGAGCCAGATCCTCCATGGCCAACTGTGGCTCAAATTCCAGCCCCGGCACTTGAGAAACATGATAGACATGTGTTCATGCATTGTTCAAAATCCTGACTAGATGAAGAAATGGAGAAGAGATTGTGACATGACCACATTCCATTGGAGGCTGCTTTTTCCCTCTATTCCTTTCTCTCTCTCTCTCTGGAGAGTGCACATGCCCTCATGCAATTAAAAAAAAAAGTTCCAGCTAGATGCCATAGTGGTTAAGGTAACTAGATCCCACATGGCCAGCCATACAGTTCAAACCCTGGACCAGGTGACTCAAAAAGCATGCCAAGCATGTGTGAGTGTATACTCACAATCCCAAGAGAAAAATAGAGACGGGATTGCTGCTAGGTCATCCCTACCCCCAGGGTGTGATTTTATACACACACATACACACACATATGTATGTATATATGTATATGATGCATGGACATCCCCACCCCCAGTGCGTGATTTTTTACTTTCTCTCTCTCTCTCTGGCAAGTTCACGTACTCTATAGCAACCCAATACACACACACACACACACACACATGTATGAATGTATGTATGTATATGAGAGAAAGTGAGAAATCACACCTCAGGGAGATGAGCATACAGCAATCCCTTCTACACCATGCTCCTCTCAGGATTTTGGACACGCATGCACGCACATGTACCTCGCATGTTTTTCAAGCCATCAGGTCCGGGACTATAACCCCACAGTCAATCATGTGGGATCCAGCCACCCAGCTGGCCCAAAAATATATATTTTTTGAATGAATGAATAAGGCAACATATTCCAAAACAAAACAGGGAAGACTAGGGGATTATTCATAATCATCTTTCTCTCATTCCAACTGCTGACTATAGTGACCAACGCCAACCTAAGGGGTTTCAGCCTACTTTAGGAGGCAGTGGAATGAGGGACAAAGCAGAGAGAAGAGAATTGAATTTACTAAGGCCTATCAGTAAAATTACTAGAACTTTGCATTCATTATTATCTTTAATTCTCTACAAATTCTCAATTACAGTAATTCTCACATACCTATAAATTAAATACGATTACCTTACTTTAGGAGGAAGAAGCTGGCTTGAACAAATTAGATAATCTGCTCCAGTGTAAGGCTGGCCACACAACACAATGGTTAACCACTGTGTATTGAGACCTGGATCACACCCGGTCAACTGCAGTTTGAACCCTGACCTTGACTCCTTGAAAAACACACTGTGTGTGTGTGTGTGTGTGTGTGTGTGTGTGTGCCCAAAATCCTGGTGGAATTATGAAATGGGCTGTACTGTGGGCAAGCCCAATTAGGGGGTTCTCTTGCTCTAGTGAGCACTCATTACCTCTGGCAATTAAAAATTTAAAAATCACTTACTCAGAATCATTTTTTAAAGACAGGTAAAGAAAGAAAAATTTGTTTCAGTGTCTTAACTAATGGCCAAGATGACAGGCCCGCTGGCTCAAAAGGCTCTGCTCATTCTACTAAACCAGTGGTGATCAATTCCAGCGGTTCCTCAAGATGACCTGTAGATGTTTAGAATTCTTTTTGTTTGCTTAGTTTTTGTTTTTGTTTTTGTGGGTTTTTTTTTTCCTAGAGAAATGTTTGCTATAGGGTGTATGTACTCACCAGAGAGACAGAGAGACAGAAAGTGAGAAATCACCCCCCAGGGGGGATGGCCATGCCGCAATCCCTTCTCCTCCACTCTCCTCTCGGGATCTTGGGCACACATGCACACATACCTGGTGTGAGTTTTAAGCTGCCAGGTTTGGGACTCAAATCGCAATTGACCATGTGGGAGTCCAGCGACATAATCTGCTGGTTCTTGTTTGCTTAGTTTTAACAAAGGTGCTTAGGACCTATAACAGACTGATTGCAACAAAAACTCCAGAGTGTGGCATGACCACCAGGTTGACTCTAACGGAACTCAACTTTGACTACTACCATACTATGCACACAGAGGAGGTGAAAAAAGAGTGATACCTGTTGAGTCTGGCTTCCAAATGGCTGCTGAGATACTCAGAAGGGAAGATAGTGTGTTCAAACACAGAGAAACTGTATACATGATTCATTGTCAGTGCCAATTCAGTCAAATTTAGGTGTAGCTTGTCCATGCTAGAAAGTAAAATGAGCCTTGATTATAAACAGATCTGGCCTGTCAGGCCCCATGACCCCTTTCATCTTCTAGAGCTCTCAGTCTAGAACGGTATACATCAATGTAGACTTTCAAGGCAAAGCAGAAAACTCATATTTAAATGCTCTTCCATATCTACCATTCCTCACCACCACTTCGATATTTTCACTGTCTCCCCCTTCCCCCTTCCTTTTCTAACTGCTTTGATGCAGTGCTCAGTTGGCCTTCTGGGCTCAGGTCCTTACTTGGTGACAATGCTACGGTTCTTCCGGTGGCTCTCAGCCCCTGGCTTATCCCTCTCAGGCTCTCCTCTTCTGGGAGTCTGCCTCTGCTTCATGATTTTCTTGTTCTTGGCCTTGCTGATGGTGGTGGCACAGTGCTTAGGCAGAAGCTTTCAAAACAAACACAGGTGAGTGGAGAAATGAGATTAATTGCAAAAACTACCAAGTAGTCCATCTAACAGCGATAAAGAGATCTCTCCATTATTGTCTATTCTTGTATCTTTCTGCTTTCTCTCTCAATCCTTCCCTCATCTCTTTCTCTAATAGGGCTCTATCTGGAATGTGTTTCCCTTTTTTAGCTTTCATAAGTATCTCCCTATCTATAGGCTCATAGTCTCGAGCTGGCATTATCTTTCGGGATCATAGCAACATGCCACCACCACATTCTGAGAGAGATTTTCCTAGCAGAAAATTCAAGTTAAAAAAAACAATTTATACACACACACACACACATACACACACACACACACAAATACATATATATGAAAGCAGTCCACCTAATTGTACTTTCTAGGGTCTTGCAACCCGAGAAAACAGTTATTTTTTGCTAGATGAAACAACTGTCTCGCTGCATTCCTTCATGTTTTGTCCTATGGAGACAGTTACCTGCACCACCAAAACCCTCCAAAGACTCAGAGCTCATGATGTGGCCAGTACTCTCTTACTTCTTGTATTTATTTATTTACTTGCATGCTATGTTTCTTCTTTATAAGAATTACTTATTCAAACAATTTTTAAAGAATTATTTTATTTAACTTTATTTACTTACTTATTTGATCAGAGAGGGCAGAGTGGGGGTGGGGAGGAGTAAGAAAGCAAGCCACCAGATCCCCTTCCCCCCTTGAGCCAAGGTCAGCCATGTGGGAGTCCAGCACCCTTAGCCACCACGCCACCTGCCAGCCTATAGGGTATGTGCACTCAGCAAAGAGAAAAGAGAATGAGAAAGCAAGCCACCAACTCCAGGACTTGAAACATGGTCAACCATGTGGGAGTCCAGTGCCTTAACTGCCATGCCATCTCCCGAGCCCTGCCATATTTACTGATAATTAGCTTAAACACAAATCTAGCAACTCTTCCCTTCACCAAGATATCCAAGTTAGCCATACAAAACGTATAAGGTAGAAGGATATGTTCAGGAAAGTCCTTCCAAGCTCATCAGAATTCTCTCCATTATTCTAATGCTGCCATGCACGTGCAGAACTTGTCTGGAAACTCCTCAACAGTAATTACTCTTAGAGTACCATAATAGCCACACAGAAAAACTGGTTTTGTTATTACATAGTCATGTTCTTTCAAAATCCAAACTCTTGGCAGTTTCAAAAAAATCAAGACCTCCTTGATAGACAAAGACCTGCCAGGACTAGCAGATGATGTAATGGTTACAACGATGGCCTCCCATGTAGCTGACCACAGTTCAAGTCCCAGACCCAGTGGCTTAAAACTCACACCAGGTGCATGTGCGTGTGTCCCAAAAATCTCAAAAGGAGAATAGAGGATAAGGGATTGTGGGATGGTCATCCCCCCCCAGGAGTGATTTCTCACTTTCTGTCTCTCTTTCTCTGTCTCTCCAGCGAGCCCATGTGCCCTATAACAAAAATCTCTCAAAAAAATAAAGACATGTCAACTCTGAAATTACGCAAAAGTGTCTGTGGTAGATTCAAAAAGCGGTTCCAAAACATGTAACTCTATTAGTAATTAATAATTATTTGCTCAAAATAATGGATTTGGGGAACCAGCAGTTAGCGTAATGGCTATGTCACTGGACTCCCACATAGTCGACGGCGGTTCGCGTCCCGGACCCGGTGGCTTAAGACTCACGCCGGGCACGTGTGCATGCGTGCCCAAGATCCCGAGAGGAGAATGGAGGAGAAGGGATTGCAGCGTGACCATCCCCCCTCGGTGGTAATTTCTCGCTTTCTGTCTCTATGTCTCTCTCTGTCTGTCTGGCGAGCGCACGCACCCTATAGCGAAAACCTCTCAAAAAAAAAAAAAAGAAAGAAAAAGGAAATAATGACTTTGAAGGGCCAATACTCATTTGGCTACAAAAACTCTGTTGTACATGAAAACAGTTACTAACATCATAGTTCAGTCATTCTTGTTACAGCACTGAACAAATCTCTTTACCTGTGTCCCTTGCGTGTAGTAGGTATTCATAGTGAGCGATGATATACCTACAATTGTACTTGTTTACATTTCTTCTTTGCATTAATTATTTATATTTCTTTCAAACATTTATTTGTACTTCCTTATCCCTTAAACTGAGACACTTCCGAAGGGCAGAGATTGTGCCTCTTCCTCCGGGTCCCCACCCCAAATACTCAGCACAGATCTCAGTATCCAGTAACTACCAACTTACATAAGAGCCAATAATTTTTAAGTGCTGTGTATCAAATATTTAATGTACTCTATTTATTTCATTTAATCCTTGTGCCATTTCTATAAAGAAAGTATTTTTAAGTTCACTTATTTACTTCTTCCAAGAGTGAGAAAGAGACAAATACAAAGAGACAGCACCTCTAGGAGGGTCCTGATGTCATGATCAGCTCCCAGCCTCAGCCACACCCAGATCATGAGCACACACATACTCAGGGAGGTCTCTCTCTCTCTCTCTCTCTCTCTCTCACACACACACACACACACACACACACCCTGCTCCCCTTGACCGAAGTGGATACAAAGCCTGACTCAAACCCAGGAAGGGTAGGTAGTCTGGAAAATCTAAAAGACTCAAGAAAAATACAAATTCCTTATTTTTAAATTTCCTGAACTATAAGTTGAGTTCATCATGACCAGGGTGCTGTGAGTTAGGCAAAGGAGGGGAGGGGGAAAATAAGAAGACAAAGACAAGAAAGCATCCCTGGGGATAAACACTGAAGAGGTGCCCCAAAATATCTTGATAGCCTCTGATAAGGATGCAGAGGAACAGGAAGATGTGACAGGTAGGTGATCTGAGGGCCACTGTCCTATGTCTGTGTACTCAGAGCAAAGAAACAAGGGTAAGTAAATTGGAAAGTTAACTCATCTGTTGGAACCCTTCAAATGAGAACACAGATCTTGTTGGAGTGCAGCTGTTTAAATAAGAGTATTTATTTTTAGACACTTCTGTCTAGTCCTGAGGGAGTAGACTGAAAAAAAAAAAAAAAGACACTAAGAAAAGAATCCTTCCATAAACTCAAGTACACAAAAGCTCTAGCCCTGCTGGAGAGAGTCAGACAACTTGGCATTGGGAAGGAAATGAAGGTAGAGAGTACGGAAAGGCATTAAGGGTTGGCAAGGAGGAGACTGAAAACAAAAGGAATGAGCCTACCTGCTCACTCAGGTTTCGCTGTTCAGCACAAATCTCCAGGACACAGTTGCTGGTCTGCTTGGCCAACTCTTCCAGGAAGGAGTTGCAGTGGTGAAGACCATGGTTCTTCAGGTGGGGGTACTACAGGAAAGAGGCAGCAAGAAAGAAACTGTTATCCCCAGGATGGCCATTTCTTTTCATGATGGTTGTGATCCCGTTGCCTGAGCCACACACTCCTACAGAAGGAACTGAGGCCCAGAGAGAAAGGACTCATTCTACATCGAGCTGAGCTATTTAGGGACTCATGTTTGTACACTCCCCGGGACCAAAATCAACCACTGGGGTTGTGTTGCGAACAATAAAGATGAGATGCAACTAGAAAGATGACAGGGTTTGGAGTTCAGATACCTACCTCTTCTGGGCACATCTCATGAGTGCAGTGGACAAAATGGGCACAGATCAGAGGGAAAGCAATGGCATAGCGCAACATCGTGGGTTCCTCCAGAGTCATAGCAAACATCTTCTCAAAGGTACGGAGATGAAAGCTGCAGGGAATAAAACTGGAATTTAGGAGATACTCCCTTTGAAGTAGAGAGAATATCCATTCTTTCAACAAATATTTATTGATTTTCACTATTCCCTCCTTAATTTCTCTATCTTCCAGGTAGAAAGGAACCCCAGAAGCTTAACCCATTCAGAGTTATAAATGAATCTCATGGCAGCCTAGTGATAATATTCTCTTTCCTTATATGAAATTTGCTATTCCTCCCTCAGAACCTTTACGTGATTTGGGTCATTACCCCTAATTTAAAAGTCCTTTGATACTGTTCATTCACATTCCCACCAACATTTGACATCCAGACTTCAGAAAACCTTTTCAGATTAATTTTATGACATGATTTTTCCTCAGCCCTTGAGGAAAGTACTTTCAAGTACTCTTTCATACTATCTTTTATCTGCCAGTATTATGTTGAGCTCCTTTACATAGGTATTATATCTCCCTATCTATACTGACTATCAAGAGCAGAGACAACATATTGTGGGTTTTTTATTTATCATTATTGTTTTTATAATTTATTATTATAATTTTTTATTTGACCAGAGACAGACAGAAAGCAAGATAGAGAAGGAAAATGAGAAAGCAATCTGCCAGGTCCAGGACTTAAACCATAGCGGCCAAGTGGGAGTCCAGCACATTAACCACCTGCCAGCCCCAGAAGTTTCTAAAGATATCAATGAAAATGAGGGGACCAGCAAATGGGATAATGGTTACATCGCTGGACTTCCATGTAACCAACCACAGTTCGAGTCTTGGACCCGGAGGCTTAAAACTCACACTGGGCACATGTGTGTGCATGCCCAAAGTCCTGACAGGAGAATGGAAGAGAAGTGATTGTAGTGTGGCCAACTCCCATGAAGGGTCATTTCTCGCTTTCTGTCTCGCTGTCTCTCCAGTAAGTGTATGCGCCCTATAGCATAAATCTCTCTTTAAAAAAAAAAAAGAAGAAGAAGAAGATGATGAGAGAAGATTGGAAAAGACATATGGAAAAATTATCCTAATGAAGGGTAAGGCTACGTAAAGTCCAAACAACTTTCTCAAAATGACAAATGCAGGGGCTGGATGGAGGCACAGCAATAAGTCACAATGCTCTGTAAGGCAAACCCATGTGGGTAAGTTGCTTGTTCACATCTGAAAATCTCCCCGAGTACTCCAAGCAAGTGTGTGCCCATGACCCAGGCTGATTAGGGGTGGATCACAGTGTCAAGACCTCTATCTGTCTTTCTCTCTTTGTCTCTCTCACTCATAGAATAGACTTTAAAAAGAGGACAAATGCAAAATGAAAGGGAATCAACTTCAAATTCCCATCATTTAGGATTATTGGTAGAAGGCAGCATGAGTGAGCTGTGAAGTTTGAGCACTCACCTTAAAAGAGATCTTAGAGAAAACAAGACTTTCCCACTTTGTTTTACAATTTGAATTACAGTCCTCCAGAGAGGCCAGGCAATAGATCAAGTGAACTGATAGAGCTCTAGACCCAGACATACCAGAAAGTAGACAAGTCAGAAGTTTCCACCAGCATTTTGTCTACTGAGTCCAGCATTCGGGAATGAAAGACAATGAGGTTCATCACCTTGGCCAAGTCAGGGTTCTCATGCAGGTGCAGGGGGGCCTTAGCCACACTGGTGTATGCCTGTGGTAGAGGTTGGGAAAAGGACAGAGAAAAGCAAGGCAAGTGAAAAGAGCTCCCAGCATTGCAACTACAATTTGGCCTGGATATAAACTGTCCAGTCAGCAGTTTTCACAGTTGACTCACTCTATTAAGCAGAGCTTAAGAGATAAAAAGAGAAGGGACTTCGGAGGAGAAAGAATGAGGATGGAACCATTAACAGGAACAGACCATTACCTGTAGGCGAAACCAATCCAGCCTCAATCCAGAAAATTCAAATGTATCTCCATTATCAACTGCAAGAAAAAGTAAAAGTAAATTTAAAAGGAAACAATAAAGCAGTACCCTAATATATGACTACATAGAAAGTTGGGTCCTTTTCAAATCCATCTTTTCCCATTCTCTGGCTCAAAGATCAATCTTTCTAGAAAAAAGATGTCTGCCCTCACATATGCTCTGCCTCCCCACCTCCCTGCAGTTACCTTGCTTGAGATTCAGAGAGGACAGAGTGCTGACAAATGAGGACATGATGATAGATTCTTCCTCTGGACATACAGACAGGTTCTGAAAGAGGAGGTGAGGTTACCATCAAAGGGCACAGGCTCCCCCAGGATAGAAACTAGGACCACAAGGCTCAGTCAGCGAATGAAAGTTGAAAGAAGTACTAAGTGCCAAAAACAGAAAAAGTCAAGCAAAAAAAAAAAAATGGAAGAAGCTTCTTTGTTCCCTGTCATACAACATCCAATTTCTCTTTATTTTTCTGTGTAGTTAATTCTGCAGGGGGCGGGGGGTGGGGGGGTGGGACGTGGTGAGGGGAGAACTCTGGCTAAGATTATTAGCCACTTTTTTGGTTCATTTCAAGAGAGAGAGAAAGACAGAGATAAACACCTTCAACAGAGTCTCATGACACAATTTCCCGCTCCATCCATTCCCAACCAGCCGGAATCACAGGCGTATGCACGTGTGCCCAGCATGTACAAATCAGCCTGGGAATGAGACTCTCATCTTCCATATGACTTTCATCTTGCAGAGAATTGTGCTACCACTTCATCACTGTGGCTGAGCCTAACTTTTTTCTTTTTCCCTCCTTTAACAAATGTAGAGGGGAAAATCAGGATTTCCAACACCCAGTCTACATAGCATGATAGTCAGGCAGGGTGGTTCCAACAGGAAAATGAACAAGGATATCCTGAAATTTCCAAAGTATAATCAAGTAAACATACCTGAATGATGTCACTAAGTACAAGACAATCAAATCTGGCCAAGTACTGCAGATGGTATTGCTGTATCACTTTGATGTGTCTTTGGATCAGAGCTCTAATTTCCTCCAACAAGAAAAGTAACTCCGCAATACTCCTGTGAAGTAGAGAATGCAAACAGAGAGCTATATGAGGATAGAAGTATGCATTGAGCGAAATACAGTGATAGGACAGAAATTGAGAACTTCTGAGGTCATTTGATCCCTCTTAGTCCCCTTTTCCCAGTTTATCTAAGGACAAGATTCTTAGCCATGTCAAGTACTAACGAGTCAGCATAGTCTTCAGGTGTCTTTGTCTTGGTGACATTTTCTGTATGGCGAACCAGCCAGGTGACCTCATCACGAATGAAGGACAGGGCCATGAAAGCAAAAAGGGCCTAAGGAGAGGATAGGGATTATCAAAATCTTCAGATCTAAAATTGGACTTCAAAGCAAAGAGAAAACTACCATGACAAAAGGCATGTGGATAGGATTATGAAGCCACATGAACAGTGTCCAATAATAAATACACACACCCCCAAAAAGCCTACTATGTGACACAGAATCAAACATGTACCTACAATGACACTGGCTCAAAGTAAGTATTAGCTCCTCCCTATCAAATTAAATTTTAGAAATATTTATAGGCATTTATGTTGTTTAAAACAAAAGCACAGCCTCTGTTTTCAATTAGCTTATATTCAAATAGAGTGTAGGACAAGTACATAAACGGCTATAATACATGACATACTACAATAGTACTGAAAAAGAACTATAAAAAGTGTTAGGGTTGGCACCAAATGGCGCAATGGTTATGGGCTGGACTCCCACATAGTCAACCAAGATTTGAGTCCCAGACTTGGCAGCTTGAAAAAACCATGCAAGGCATGTATGCGTTCACCCAAAATCCCAAGAAGAGAATAGAAGAGAGGGGATTGCAGCATGGTCATCCCCCCAGGGGGTGATTTCTTGCTTTCTGTCTGTCCCTCTGGTGAGCACATGCACCCTTATACAAATAAGTGTTAGGATACTACAAACAGATTCAAGGAAATCAACATATACACATACAAATAGATCATAGAAGATACAGATACGAAATCTTAAGCATGCCAAGTCAGCCCCACATAGAGTCTCTTATCACTGGCTTTCTCTTGCCTTGGGTCCCAGTAGTCCTGGTTCATCAGTAAACACAGTCTCCAGCTCCCTCACTGCTATCCGCAGAAATTGCCGCCGTTGACAGTGAAACTGGCCACTGAGGAAAGAAAGGAAAACTAAAGAATATTGTCTTTTGGGAACCAGCAGTTAGCGTAATGGCTATGTCACTGGACTCCCACATAGTCGACCACGGTTTGAGTCCCAGACACAGTGGCTTAAAACTCACGCCGGGCGCGTGTGCGTGCGTGCTCAAGATCCCAAGAGGAGAATGGAGGAGAAGGGATTGCGGCGTCACCATCCCCCCGGGGGTGATTTCTCGCTTTCTGTCTCTATGTCTCTCTCTGTCTGTCTGGCGAGCGCACGTGCCCTATAGTGAAAATCTCTCAAAAAAAAAAAAAATATATATATTGTCTTTTCTGGTGCTGATCATAAATAACAAAAGACACAATCCTGAATACCATAATCCCAAATGTTGAAGCCCCAAAGGATCAAAATCCCTAACATATAAAATCTTAAAAATCACAGTCCCAAAAGATTAAAATCCTGAATGCTGAAATCCTGAAAACCATGGTTCCCATTGAAACGAAAAAAAAAAAAATGGAAGAAGCTTCTTTGTTCCCTGTCATACAACATCCAATTTCTCTTTATTTTTCTGTGTAGTTAATTCTGCAGGGGGCGGGGGGTGGGGGGGTGGGACGTGGTGAGGGGAGAACTCTGGCTAAGATTATTAGCCACTTTTTTGGTTGATTTCAAGAGAGAGAGAAAGACAGAGATAAACACCTTCAACAGAGTCTCATGACACAATTTCCCGCTCCATCCATTCCCAACCAGCCGGAATCACAGGCGTATGCACGTGTGCCCAGCATGTACAAATCAGCCTGGGAATGAGACTCTCATCTTCCATATGACTTTCATCTTGCAGAGAATTGTGCTACCACTTCATCACTGTGGCTGAGCCTAACTTTTTTCTTTTTCCCTCCTTTAACAAATGTAGAGGGGAAAATCAGGATTTCCAACACCCAGTCTACATAGCATGATAGTCAGGCAGGGTGGTTCCAACAGGAAAATGAACAAGGATATCCTGAAATTTCCAAAGTATAATCAAGTAAACATACCTGAATGATGTCACTAAGTACAAGACAATCAAATCTGGCCAAGTACTGCAGATGGTATTGCTGTATCACTTTGATGTGTCTTTGGATCAGAGCTCTAATTTCCTCCAACAAGAAAAGTAACTCCGCAATACTCCTGTGAAGTAGAGAATGCAAACAGAGAGCTATATGAGGATAGAAGTATGCATTGAGCGAAATACAGTGATAGGACAGAAATTGAGAACTTCTGAGGTCATTTGATCCCTCTTAGTCCCCTTTTCCCAGTTTATCTAAGGACAAGATTCTTAGCCATGTCAAGTACTAACGAGTCAGCATAGTCTTCAGGTGTCTTTGTCTTGGTGACATTTTCTGTATGGCGAACCAGCCAGGTGACCTCATCACGAATGAAGGACAGGGCCATGAAAGCAAAAAGGGCCTAAGGAGAGGATAGGGATTATCAAAATCTTCAGATCTAAAATTGGACTTCAAAGCAAAGAGAAAACTACCATGACAAAAGGCATGTGGATAGGATTATGAAGCCACATGAACAGTGTCCAATAATAAATACACACACCCCCAAAAAGCCTACTATGTGACACAGAATCAAACATGTACCTACAATGACACTGGCTCAAAGTAAGTATTAGCTCCTCCCTATCAAATTAAATTTTAGAAATATTTATAGGCATTTATGTTGTTTAAAACAAAAGCACAGCCTCTGTTTTCAATTAGCTTATATTCAAATAGAGTGTAGGACAAGTACATAAACGGCTATAATACATGACATACTACAATAGTACTGAAAAAGAACTATAAAAAGTGTTAGGGTTGGCACCAAATGGCGCAATGGTTATGGGCTGGACTCCCACATAGTCAACCAAGATTTGAGTCCCAGACTTGGCAGCTTGAAAAAACCATGCAAGGCATGTATGCGTTCACCCAAAATCCCAAGAAGAGAATAGAAGAGAGGGGATTGCAGCATGGTCATCCCCCCAGGGGGTGATTTCTTGCTTTCTGTCTGTCCCTCTGGTGAGCACATGCACCCTTATACAAATAAGTGTTAGGATACTACAAACAGATTCAAGGAAATCAACATATACACATACAAATAGATCATAGAAGATACAGATACGAAATCTTAAGCATGCCAAGTCAGCCCCACATAGAGTCTCTTATCACTGGCTTTCTCTTGCCTTGGGTCCCAGTAGTCCTGGTTCATCAGTAAACACAGTCTCCAGCTCCCTCACTGCTATCCGCAGAAATTGCCGCCGTTGACAGTGAAACTGGCCACTGAGGAAAGAAAGGAAAACTAAAGAATATTGTCTTTTGGGAACCAGCAGTTAGCGTAATGGCTATGTCACTGGACTCCCACATAGTCGACCACGGTTTGAGTCCCAGACACAGTGGCTTAAAACTCACGCCGGGCGCGTGTGCGTGCGTGCTCAAGATCCCAAGAGGAGAATGGAGGAGAAGGGATTGCGGCGTCACCATCCCCCCGGGGGTGATTTCTCGCTTTCTGTCTCTATGTCTCTCTCTGTCTGTCTGGCGAGCGCACGTGCCCTATAGTGAAAATCTCTCAAAAAAAAAAAAAAATATATATATTGTCTTTTCTGGTGCTGATCATAAATAACAAAAGACACAATCCTGAATACCATAATCCCAAATGTTGAAGCCCCAAAGGATCAAAATCCCTAACATATAAAATCTTAAAAATCACAGTCCCAAAAGATTAAAATCCTGAATGCTGAAATCCTGAAAACCATGGTTCCCATTGAAAATAAAGGCTATACAAGAGGGGGAGAAACCTGAATTCTGGGAAAGGGATTAATGTATATCTAAAACAACATAGGAGTATGACAAGGAAGATGAGAAACTTTAATAAAGAATGCTAATATGGATGTACGTCAAATCGCAGGTGATTTTGAAGAGTACCACCACATAGAAAATTAATGTGAACATATTCTCTGAGAAGAGCCATGCCGTACAAGGAAAAGAGGCAGCTATTCATCACGATATAAAATTTCAATACATAATTAATGATCATGAAAGCTGGGTAGCTCTTAGGCACCACCTCTGTGCAATTGCTCATAATCTATCCCTGTATGACATTCTTTCCTTTATCAGATTTTCTTTTTAGTCTTTTATTTGTTAGGGTTTTTTTCTTTTACTTTTTTCAGTTTGTTTCCATTATTTTAAGTAGTCAACATTATTTTTTATAATTTGCTATGCTACACATTTCATCTTTGCATCATTTTCAATACTAGAAGTATAAATTATATAAAGACTTTAATAGAGTTCTATTTATTTTATAAATTTTTGGCAAATTTGACTTTGCAAAAGTACATCATCACAATAGTTACTTTGTGTGTAAGCACTTGCATGTTTATAAAAACATAAAAACTTCCCCCAATAAGTAAAGAGCTGTGCTTTTTTTGTGTTTGTGTTTGTAAAAATAAAATTTCTCAACATATCAGCTCAGGGCCAGCAGATGGCATGGTGGTTAAGGGTGCTGGATTCTCACATGGCTGACTGTGGTTCAAGTCCTAGACCTGGTGCATTACTTTCTCACTTTCTCTCTCTTTCTCTCTTTCTCTCTCTCTTTCTCTCTTTCTCTATCTCCTTCCCCTTCCCCCCTCCCTCTCTGGTCACATTAAAATAAATACATAAATAACATTGAATAATAAAATAATCCTTTAGGAAAAAAGATACCAGTGTTTTGTGCGATTGCATACATGGTGGTGACCCATCATGTTTGTTTTTTGATGTTGTTTTTGTTTTTTAGCTTGCTGTGGGTATATGTGCTTGCTGGAGAGAGAGAAGAGAACATGATAAAACACCTCCTGAGGGGATAACCACACTGCAATCTCTTCTCCTTCCAATTTCCTCTCAGGACTTAGGATGTGTGCCTGGTATGATTTTCTTTTTTGCCATAAGATTCATACACTCACCAGAGAGAGACAGAGAGAGCTAGTGAAAGGGAAAGTGAGAAGTCACTCCCCAAAGAAGATGGCCATGCTATAATTGCTTTTCTTTCATTCTCCGCCTGGGATTTTGGGTATGCAGGTGCTTTATGTGATTTCCAAACCATTGGGCCCAGGACTTGAACCACGGTCAGCCATATGGGAGTCCAGCACCTTACTCACCATGACACCTACTGCTCCCCAACACCCCCCCAACACACACACATGATTTTCAAGCTTCAGGCCTAGTACTTGAACCTCAGAGTCAACCATGCAGGATCCAGCTGTCTTAACCGCCACACCATCTGCTGACCCCCATCATGATTTTTTTATATATATATGATCAGTTATTTAATTAGGTTCTTTGCAAAAAATTGAGAACACCAATTTGTGAGGATAAACTCCATTTGTAAGGGCAAACATGGATCACACATAGCCCTGGAGCTGAGGAACAGCTTTGATTTTTGGTAAAATTTGAGAGTCCACAGCTTTCTGATCAATCTTGCGCTGCTCTGAAATCTCATATTTCTCCTTCTCTGTGTCGAAGATCTCACCTTCCTGGTGTCTGGGCTTCTGCAGTTTCTTTTTCTTTACTTTTTTTTTAAAGAGTTATTTTATTTAACTTTATTTATTTACTTATTTATTCTAATTTTGACCAGAGAGGTACAGAGCAAGAGTGAGAGAGAGAGAAAGTGAGAAAGCAAGCCACCAGGTCCGAGACGCGAACCGCAGTCGGCCATGTGGGAGTCCAGTGCCCTTAACTACTATGCCACTTGCCGGCCCCATGCAGTTTCTTTTTCTTGAAGTAAGCATCAGTAAGGCGCTTTGGGATTTTTACTTTGCTAATATCAATTTTCGTGGAGGTGGCGATGACAGATTTCTAGTGTGTTCTACACAGTGGAACTCGATTGAGAACCAGCGGTCCAGTTACAAGAAGCAAGCCACTGCTCAGCTGCTTCAGGAAACCACTCTCTTGCCTCTATAGCATGCAGTGAGGATGATCAGAATGCTCCCGGGAGTGATGCTAGCTCACAGCTTTCTCTCATGCTGACTGAAGGGTTTTTTTGCCATGGCTCAACAACAGCTTTCGAGGCACATCTTCAGTAGGATAATACCTAGGCATTTTGTGCAGTTTAACCACCTGGGTATCACCTATCTTGTCTCCACCAACTGGTTTTGTGACAGTGGCAAGAACCTTCTCCTTTTTTCTTTTTGATCCTGGATTTAGTGGCCGAGTATTTCCTCTTGTACATGGCCTTCCTGGAATATATGGCAGATTGGGAGTACATGCCGATGCCCCAGATTAGGATGGGGTTTCTCGGCAATGGAGCTTCCCCTTCTTGGGCTTTTTAGCCTTGGGGTCACCTTTTTTAACCTTGCCACTGGCATCAGCCTTCTTGGCTTCAGGTTTCTTCTCTCCTTAGTATCCTGCTTTGCAGCTTTTTCACCTGCCATCTGGTATAGTGGGAAAGAGCCCCATCATGATTTTTGATCGATCTCATCATAATACTTAGTCACAGTATTTCAGATGATTGAAGTTATAAAGCTGAGTGCCAGCAGGTACCAACCATAGTGGTGTCATACACTTCACTTTTTGACCCATTTCCTTATGAATGCGATTCATCTGCTTATAACTGTCACACCTGTGCAACTGTCATTAGTATACCTGAGGGGTTATGCTTATAAAATATGTACATTACTGCCTACATTTCATTGAGTAAAGTGGCCAATGAAGTATTCATTCTGTATTTCCATATTTTCAAATAAATCCCCTTTTAAAATGTAGGCAAATATCTTCTAAAAAATATTTTAAATATTTTTCTCCAGAATTATATTTTTAGCATTTAGATATTTGGGATTTTAGAATTCAAAGATTTTGATCTTTTGGAATTATTTCTTTCAGGATTATAATCTAAACCCACTTTTTCCACCCTTAAAAATCTTCCTTGGCCACAGTCATAAAACTACCAGTTTGTTTTCTCACTTTCCCTCCCCGCTCTCTTCTCTCTCTCTCTCTCTCTCTCTCTCTCTCTCTCTCTCTCTCTCTTTCCGTGTCTGTATGTGTGTGTGTATCTGTTTCTCTCTGGTCAAAATCAATCATATTAATTAATCAATTAATTCCTTTTTAAAAATCTGCCATATACAGCACATGCACCCCTATTCAGGAAGGAGTGTCAAGCAGAAAGAAGGTTCAACACTAATGCTAGACTTGGCTAATAACAACAACAGGGACCAGCAGATGGCGTAACAGTTACATTGCTGGACTCCCATGTAGTCAACAGTGGTTTGAGTCCCAGACACAACAACTTAAAATTCATGCCAGGCACGTTTTTGTGCATGACTGAAATCCCAAGAGGAGAATGAAGGAGAAGGGATTGTAGCATAGCTATCCCCCTGAGGGTGATTTCTACTTTCTAACTATCTGTCTCTCTCTGTCTCTCCATGTGCCCTATAACAAAAAATAATAATAATAAAATAACAACAACAATAAAACTCCCACAAGAATCTGTGGAGCAGCAGCAAATCCATGGGTTGAAATAACAAGTCTGTACAGAAACCAGAAGTGGCTTAGGGTAAGAACGAAAGTCAGGAGATTCCTATTTCCTCCCTCTGAGGGATCCCATTCCCAACTTTACCTGTTGGTGATTGCATGTTCCTTGCTCTCCTTTATGTCTGCCACTCGCTTGCCATATCTGAGGATCGAAACGGGCAAAAACAGGGATGTGTTAGTGGTCTTACCCCCTTCCCAGTCCGTAGAGAGTCCAGCCTACAGTCTCAAGGGAAACATGGGCAGCCCTCACTAGTGGAATCTCTTTGAACACTGCTTCTTACTCTGGCCTATCAATAAAAGACTTATAGAGCTTAGAGATCATTCAGTTCTACCTCATTATTTTGCCAATAAAGAAAATAATACTTAAGAAAGGAAAATGACTTGCCAAGATCACACAGGGATTTAAGGACATAGCTGGAGCTAGACTTCTGGTTCTGTGCTCCTGTTTTTATACCTACAAGTCAAGATACTCTTCCAGGGGGCTGACTGGTGATGTGGCAGTTAGAGGCACTGGACTCCCACATGGTCTATTATGGTTCAAGTCCTGGACCTGGTAGGTTGCTTTCTCACTTTCCCTCTCTCTCTCTCTCTGTCTCTCTCAGATCAAATTGGAAAATAATAATAATAATTAATAAAATTAAATACAAAATAATTATTTAAAAAAAGATACTCTTCCAGGTTTGAGGAGGATAAAAGAAACAGTACATAAATATAACATTGCCCCTACTCTCAGGTAAAAATAATTAACTCAGCCCTAACTTGGGGACCATTTCCTCCCACTCACTCCTAGAATTTAACTTTGTCAGTTAACTCTTTGTCACTTTAATCTCTCTCTCTTGTCCTAACAAATAAACTCAAAGGCTCTCTTATTGTAAAATGACCCCTCCCCCCCTTGAGTTGACCATCCCTTGAACTTTGCACATTCTCCCCCACCACCAAACTCCTCTAAAGATACACCTGTCCTTCACCTATCATGGACCCTTGAATCTCAAAAGGCCTTCAACACTAAACAAACTGCTTTGTCTAAGGTCAGCCGTAAGCTTTTGAATCACCAAATAAATTTAACTTTTCATTGTTTTGGATTTGTAGGCAATATTTGACTCTCCTGGCCATATCTCTTTTTCTATACTGACCCATGCCCCAAATCCCAACATTACCTTAGACTCTTTGCTCTCTGTGTTCTTTATATCTGTCATCTCTTGTTCTGTTTCACTGTTGCCACCACATCAGTGGGACTATTATAATCTCTTATTTCCCTTACCCAAGCCACTCCTTTATTGAACTTAGCACAAAAATCAAAGAAATTGTAGTTGGACAGTATCTTAATTAAATCAGGTTAAATTCCACAGCATTCCAGATGAATAATTACTTCAACCTCTACACAGTACAATGAAAAGAGAGAGGATTAAGTATCAGAAAATCTGGAATTGTTTTCTATTCTACCTCTTATCAACTGAGTAACATTGAAACTGAGTTTCAATTTTCTCATTTATACGAAAAAGATACTAACACTTGTAATCATAATTATCATGAAGATCAAATTAGATTATTATGTCAGACAATCCCCTACACTACAAATCATACATATTAGTTGTTGTTCTTAATAATGGGCAACTGAAGACCCTTCAAACCTGCCTTCCATTCCTTAGAGGCGATATTTAATAAAAAATTTTTCCATATGTATACTCAAATCTACATCTTTTAACTTCTTTTTTATAAAGAATTATTTTATTTGGGGCCAGCAGGTGGCATGGTGGTTAAGCTGCTGAAATTCCCACATGACTGACAGCAGTTCAAGTCCCAGACCTGGTAGCTTGCTTTCTCACTCACTCTGTCTTTCTCTGGCAAAACTCATGAAAATAAATAAATTAATTAATTAATTATTTAAAAAATCACTTTATTTAACTTTATTCATTTACTGATTTTAATTTGACCAGAGAGGGACAGAGCAAGAGGGAGAGGGAGAGGGGAAAGTGAGAAAGCAAACCATCAGGTCTGGGACTCGAACCATGTGGAAGTCCAGTGCCCTTAACCACCATGCCATCTGCCAGCCCTTCTTTTAACTTCTAATTATTAATCTTAAATTTACTCTGTCTTAACTCTGGTAATTATTTTTTTAAATGATTTAACTATTAAAAAGAATAAGTTAAGTCTCTGTAGACCAATATTGACATTTAAAAATATTCCAAATATAATATGTTTTTTAAAAAAGCAAACTGCAAAACAATGTAAAATGTGAATCTTTTTTTTTCTTACATTTTTGTTATAGGGTGCTTATGCTCACCAAAGAGAAAGAAAGATAGTGAGAAATCATTCCTGAAGGGATGGCCATGCTGCAGTCCCCTTTCTTCCAGTCTCCTCTTGAGATTTGGGGCATGTACACATGCATGTACAGCATGTTTTTCAAGCTGCTAGGTCTGGGACTTTGAACTGTGGAGTCAGCCATGTGGAATCCAGCACCCTAACCACTAAGCCATCTACTGGTCCCAGATCCATTGCTCTTTTAAAAAGTACTTTTGTAGGGCCAACAGGTAGCATGGAAGTTAAGGCACTGGATCCTACCAGGCCAGCTTCATGGTTCAAGACCTGGACCCGGAGTCCTGAGACTCACACCAGGCATGTGCGCATATATGCCCAAAATCTTGAGAAGAGAGCGGAAGAGAAGGGATATGGCATGGCTGTATCTCTGGGGAGTGATTCCTCACTTTCCCTCTCTCTGCCTGTCTCTCTCCAGTAAACATATGCACGTTATAGCAAAAACTAGAAGAAAAAAAACTTACATAAGTTTGAAAATACCTGCATACCTTTACATATTTATATGTACATTTATGTAAGTATACACACACACATACACACACACACATGCATATTTGTATACACAAGTATCTGCAGAATCCATATCAAACTATTATGGGAGATAAGATTATAGCCAACTTCTACTTTGTATTTTCTACATTTCTAGATGTTATATTTGCAACCAGAAAAAATAATGTTGGTATTTTGACTCATTCCTTAATCTTCCACCTTCTTCCATTATAGCACTCTCTATTCCTTCCTTCACAGTCACACTTCTTGAAGGAGTTGTTTGTTAAATTTCTTATCAGCCTTTTGGCCAGATCTGCCATCTTTCAGTGATTCATCAAAATGACAAATGAAAAGAGAAGGGAAGGGAAGGGAAGGGAAGGGAAGGGAAGGGGCACTTCAAATGTTTTCTAGGCCTTTTAGAAAATATGGGATTGTTCCTTTTTGGTGATATTCATTCAGGTCTACAAGAAAGATGATATTGTAGACATCAAAAGAAGGGGTGCCCCACAAATATTACCACGGCAAAACTGGAAATGTCTATAGTGTTACCCAACATGCCGTTGGCATTGCTATAAACAAACAAAGGCAAGATTCTTGTCAAGAGAATTAATGTGGGTATTGAGCATATTAATCACTCTAAGAGCAGAAAGAGCATACTAAACATGTGAGGGGAAATGATCAGAAAAAGAAAGAAGCCAAAGAAAGTGTACCTGCGTTCAACTGAAGCACCAGTCTGCTTCACCTAGAGTAGCCACTTTGTGAGAAGCAGCAGAAAAGGAGCCTGAACTGCTAAAACCTATTCCCTTTGAATTCATGACACAATAGGTATTTTAAATACATAAATTTAAAAGAAAATTGAACTGTTAAAAATATCTTATCAGGCTAGCCTCATGGCCTTGTGGTGAAAGATGTCAGATCCCACATGGCCAACTACACAATTTGAATTTCAGACCTGGCAGCTTGAAAAACACACTGGGCATGTGTGCATGCATGCCCCAAATCCTAACAGGATGAAAAAATAGAGACGGGATTGTGGTGTGCACATACGCTATTGGGGGGGG